CCCCAAAACCCCAAAACCCCAAAACCCCAAAACCCCAAAACCCCTCAAGGCAAGCTTCTTATTGAAAATTGTTTTTATTATAAACTTACTAGTTAGCCAAAGCGCCTATGGCGAGTTTAGCAACCTTGAATTTCTGCGAAGGAGTGTAGTTGTGTTTTAGATTCGAAAGTTTTCGAAATTTACACTGTTTTGTTGGTATTTTTGAAAGTGCCGCTTTAGAATTTTGAAGATTTTGAGGCAATTTAAATTTTGACCCTTTTCTTTGTGAAATTACTGAAGTGCTCAAGTAGCTAGATCTAGGCCTAGAAGTGATAAAGAGGTTCTGAGGAGTCATGGATTTGTTTAGTGGTCATGGGATTTCAGCTGGGATTTTCAAGTTTTTGCACTTCTTAGGACTTAAGACAGGTGTTAAAAGGGATCTTCTTGGATTCAAGAGCCTATCTTCCCTTCCTTTAGCATTATTCCTCTTTAACCTATCAACATTGGTGAGGCGGCTCAAAACAGCCCTCCTGAAGAGATTAAGGCCGAGGCCTGCCTCTCTTTTGCTTTTTGTCTGTCTCAAATAGTCGGATTCTTTCCTGATCTTGAAGTAGAATCTCCCATTGACAGCTTTGATGAGGTCCTTGAAGTCCTTAGTGGTAGACTTGAGAACTTTGGAAGAGATTGATTTCCAATTCTCTTTCGAAGTTTCAGAAAAATTTCTAACCTTTGTTTTCTTGACAGGCGAGGCCTGGTCAAATTTGATACAGATTGGAGCTCCAGCATCGGATTTATTTTTCATAGGGTTTATAGAAGTAATCCATCTTCTCAAGGAGGCTCTCGTCGATGTTCTCATCCCCACTGATGATGTTCTTGAACTTAGCGATTTTCTGACTGTATTTTCGACATGAACTTCGAGCTGTCTTTCTGCCTTTAGATCGGGTACTGGTGATTCGGGTGTTATTGCTTCGAGAACTCATGTTTGATTCAGTTTCGAAGAAGGTTACCTTACTCTTATGAGCAGTCTTGTCGATATTGGTGTTGTCATTCCATATCTTTATGGAAGGAATGACCTTCTCACTGATGAAATCATGCTTGGATTTGACTCTGCTCTTGGGGGCTATCTTGTTAGCTGACATATTTTGTACTACAAAGTTGCTCTATAGTGATTAAGATCTCTTGCTCACTTTGTGCATAACTTATTTTGTTAATATTTATGAATATTTCAACTTAGATAAAATAAATAGGGGTTTTGGGGTTTTGGGGTTTTGGGGTTTTGGGG